CTTAATTAGTTGTACCTTGGTCATTAGTGGATTGAAACTAAAGGGGGCCGGGGAATAACCTCTTGTGGGTCGATCCATTTGCGGACGTGGGTTCGAAGTCGATCGCCGTCAGTCTTTGAGTACATAAAGCTTAGATGAATGTTTAATATTACCCCTTCACAGTCAAGTTGGCATAAACCAACCTTTTGTAGATTAATCACGAACCAACTTTGGTCACCTCCCCTTGCACAAACTCGGGCGGCGTGGTAAACGTTTTATTTAATCACAAACAAAACGATTACATCGCAATCGATCACCTCGCAACTCGATCACGTCGTCGAGGGCGTCGTTGTGTGCCTCTGGGACCGCCCTGGAGGCCGCTGCAAAACCCAGATGCAGTTGGGATTTTCGCCTCCACGACAACTGCCGATTATGGCATCGATTTGTGGTTAGTCTGTTTCGTTGCTACTTTATCACATCCGGTTCCGTCGTCTCGAGACTTTTATCGAGGAACAGTGAGAGAGGAGGAGAGAGTAGTGTGGTGTGTGTGTGTGTGTGTGTGTGTCGTGTGTGTGTGTGTGTGTGTGTGTGTGTGTGTGTGTGTGTGTGTGTGTGGTGTGTGTTGTGTGTGTGTGTGTGTGTGTGTGTGTGTGGTGTGTGTGTGTGGTGGTTGTGTGTGTGTGTGTGTGTGTGTGTGTGTGTGGTGTGTGACCCCGACGAGCTAATACCGGTTATTAGTGCTAATACAACCAGTTATTAATTATAGTACTATAATAATTTATGCCAATTAAGTAACTGAAACTTTTGGTAGTTAAATAACTTTGAAATTTTGTTTATTATTAAACTTGTCATATATAAAAATTGACAACTAATGGGACTTGCATATTAACGTTGGACTTTTTGGTTTTGTTTTTAATTAATTTTATTTACTATCGTAAATTTATTTATTATTTATGCGTTGATTTGTGCGTAGTGTTTTAAAACCTCGGCGTGAAGGTGTTCGGATGAATTGTATTCTTTATACTATTTAATTTAATTCTGATTTTGAATTAATCGCTGAGTTATACAAACATCCCGTGACGTGACGTCGTTGGATCGGTTTCGTTTTATTAGCAAAAAAACGCTAATAGAAACAAAAGCATTAACACCGTCCGGGGTTTAGCATTATACGCGAAATTTTATGCTAATTAACGTATCGGGGATTGTGCGTGTGTGAGGTCGTGGTGGTAGTCTGTGTTCGTGTAGTGTTCTGTGTGTGTGCGTGGCCGTGGCGTGGTGTCGTGTGTGTGAAAAACAGGATTGTGCGGATTGTGTCAAGACACACCGACAATATAAGGTCATTAACAACGAATACTAAACTTGGTACTTATGTAAATGAAACATTATCATTAATACCTGCATGAAGAAGAAAAGTATCGTTGAAAACGAACGTTAGAAATAACACGGCACTTTAGTCCAAGAAATTTAAGATAAGTTTCACAGATTTTTCAGAATGTAAACTCAACCGCCTTTGGACGCCTTCGGGACAAACTTACACAACACAATACTACAAGAGTGAAGAGTTGCCAAATTAACAGAGGTGTTTTGATGTCATAAATAATTTCATTTTCCGACGGTTTTTAAGATTATTAAAGAAATAACAGTTGGTGTAGGTATTTTTGTAGTTTTAGTTGTTATACATCTAGTCTATGCTGAATAGTCTTTGTTGGAGACAACAGGTTTTTCGGCCTGCGTTCCACACGAAATCCCCAACTCTACAGTTTATTTTCATTATCGCTTTTATATGTCTACTTTATGATTATACAACTGGGCGAGGATAGCTTTAGTTCAAGCCGTTCAGCGTTGCCGAGTAAAGTTTTATTACACCTTAATTACGTAACTTTTGATAAATAAGCCCCAATCCCTTCCTCCCTAAAACAATATCTATAATTTGTTTGTTCGAAACCGAAAGTCTTATAGTTGAAAATTAAGGTTTGGAGTGTGTTATTATGTAAGAAATTCGAACATTTGACCCTTCTACTGACCGTTAGACGAGAAGGCGTTCGGCGCGGGGAGGGAGCGGAGGCCGACTGTAATACTTGACATTCGCATCTCAGTTAAGGTATTTATGTGTGGCCGTCCCAGGCAATGTCAAACAAAAATAGACTAAAGTTAATTGTACGTTTCAGAACGGAACAGTCTTATAATTTGAACAAAGCCGCATTTAAGTCTCTTTCCTAACTATATTCATGTTTGAAACTTTCGAGACATTGGACCAGTATTAATGTTCCGTACTCTGCCTCATTCAATGCAGTGTCGTTGGGGGGAACTGAAAGGCTATTACCGTACTGGTTACTTTGCAGCCCGGACATTTCCCCCAAAACACATTTAGACGCTATCGCAACACAGAAGTACCTTTCAAATCCCATCATTTTTAAGACCTTCCAAATCAAATTTAAGACCTTTCTTATTTTTTGGGTCATATTTAAGACCTTTTTAAGGCCTTAAATTCAGATTATCAAATGTAAGGCTTTTTAAGACCCCGTGGGAACCCTGTTAGATACACAGACACACACCTGTGGAAGGAGCCGTCCACCATGTCCCTGGCTCGCTTCTTGGATGTAGCGATCATAGAGCCCAGGGCCAGACCCTCTGCATCCAGGATCCTGTGTTTCTTACCTGAGGAGCACAGAAGCCAAAACTATTAACAAAGACAAGTTACACAAAACAAAAAGCTAAATACATTTTACTGGCTGCATTTTGAAAGTATTTTGAACGTATAACCTGGTTTTCAGTTGATTTTCCCTGAGATAGGATGTGTGTAGATTGGAAATTATCAGTTTAACACTTGCAACATAAATGCTCCTCATACTCACTTATGCTTTCTACAGGGACAACCTGGAAGTCCTCTTCATTGGCCTCAACTGACGTCCCAGCAGACGTCCCCCCAGCCCCTCTAGTGACCTGCTTCATCTTGTTGATCTCCCTGAAAACAAGCAGCAAAATATTCATTTAACTATTTGTATATTTGTCAATAGTATGAATGTAACTGGATTTGGAACAGAAAACAGCATAAACAGAAAATTAGGTTTTACTTTTCATCATCACTGCTGTCATCTGAGTCGCTGTCAGTGTTGTTTTCAGCTTCTTTTGAAGGTCCCGCCTCCTCCGCCTCCTCTGGCTTAGCAGTCTTCTCTTCCTCTGCAACATTTTCATCTTCAGCTTTCCTCTTTTTGCCTTTTCCAAAAGAAGAACCATAATGGTTATTATACTGCCTGTACCAGATTTATAGAGCTGCTATCCTTTTTAGTACAGATATTTTACATTTTGTTTTACTGAGTCATGAAAGGACGTTGTAGAAAAAACGACTTTTGATGAACAAATCATTTCATGAGAAACAGAGGAGACTCTTACTTGTTTCTTTTTTCTGAAGCCACTCAGTCTGTCGGAGCTCGCTTTCGGCGTCTCCTTCCAGGTTAATCTCAGAGAATATGCCCTACAGTGCAAAAAGATGGAAGGGTCACAGGTCACACAATAATCCACTTATTTGCAGATCAGTAATGATGTGAACAAATAGGCAGCTGAGAAATCATTTTATAACATGAACATTGTGAATATATCAAATGACAAACCTTGCTGAACCACAGGTTGGTTTCTCGCTCCTTCTTCTCATCCTTTCCCTCCAGTTCAACCAGCAAGGCACTATCCTGCCCTTCTACCTCCTTTTCTTCATCAAACTTTACTCTGGAAACAGACACAAACAGGCTAAAGTAAAGAACTATTTTTAAAGAAATAATTACATGGTTTTTTTCTGAGAAAGTAGCACAATATTATCGATACATGACCGGAAAAACATTTATAATAGTGGTCTGTCTTGGTTCATGCGATATGACTTTACTTACTTCTTCTTCTTTGGTGCCAGCTCTCTCTGCTTCTGCTCCACCTCTTCCATGTCCTCATCATCTAAGTCAGAGGCGAGGGAAATCTCATCTGCATCGTCACCCTCCATATCAGACAGGTGGAGGTCGTCGTCTTCATCTCCCAGGGTGTCCGCCAGCTGCATGTCCCCTTTGGATATATCTGCCAGGGTCTGATGGAGAGACGTGAATGGCAAAGGAATTAGTTTTTTTGAGTCTTCCCCACCACCAAACACTTTGGAAGGAGACATTAGAGATGGGACAACAGTATCTGCAGCAAAACTAAAGACTGTGCTTCCACAGGATGCATTTAAGAAGCGGCTCCACATAAAACTACACGGCATGTCTATTTTTGGCAGAGTGTTGCACATATTAGATCAAGCCGAGAAATATTGCGATGCAAAAATTGTCCGTGCTATGAAGCTCCCTTGGAGACGCACAGGCCCCTCACATTTGAAGATCAAAGTCTAAAGACATTGAGTGTAGTCGCGGAATAGGTTTTTTTGTTAAATGTCCAGTGTACTCGGTAACGGTGCTGTAGCAAGTTTATACAAGTGTGGGAAAATGTCCTCAGCCTGTGTGTGTGTGTGTGTGTGTGTGTGTGTGTGTGTGTGTGTGTGTGTCTTATATTCACCTTTTGCTTCTTGATGGTGCTGATGGAGAACATGGAAAAGTCGTGGGAATCTGCGATGGAGACGCCGGGCAGGTCCATCTTCAGCTCCACCCTCTCCCTCAGCTTCCTCCGCTCCTTCAGCAGCTTCCTCTTCTTACTGATGAAGCATAAGAGTAAGAAAATCTCAGATTTCTAAACAGAATGTTCCAAATGTAATTAGCTTTCAGTGAAACTGAATCAAAAAATGAATTTGTATTCAATTATATCCAGAGTAAAAATAAAAATGTTGTTTTTCAAAACGTGTTGTACCGTTTGAGCTCAGCCACCTCCTCAGCTTTCATTTCTGCCAGTTTAGTCTCCATTTCTTCCTCATCTTCCTCTTCCTCCTCATCCTCATCGTCCTCACCCTCCTTCTCCTCCTTCTCCCCGGGTTGCTTCTTCTTCTTCTCCTTCTTCTTCTTCTGTTTCTCTTCTACTTCATCAAAATCGGGTTTTTCTTCATCAGAACTTAGGCTAAAAAAACAGCAAAAAGGAAGGTGTTTTTATATATATGCAATAACACAGTCTGGTGAAGACATGAGAATATTTCTGCAGCTTTTTGTAAATACGCTGTAAAGACTTTACTTTATATCCGGGTCAAGCGGTTTGGAATCTCCCTTCAGTTTTTTGGCCAGATATTTCCTCAGTGTGGTCCTCCAGGTAAGCAGCAGGCGGAGCTCTTTGCGTCCTAAAACTTTGATGTCACGCAGACACTCTTTTATCTCAATACTCGTGGACGGGTGAGACTCCAGGTCTGGGTTTTCAAAGGTGATCTGAGAGAAGAAGACAGAATGTGAACTGAAATTCCTGAGAGCTTTTTCTTAACGTAGTCAGTCATTTTATTATTATTGCATTTTAGACTGTCATTTCAAATAGTCCAGTACAGGATCATTTATAACTTTTGCTTTTTGAAATGTATTTTCAACAGGATTTTCTGTGAAATGGCAGAACATGTTAAATATTAAATTATAGCAGTTTACTCACCTCATTGGCTTTGCTTAGGAAGTCTATGGCGTTATCGGCTTTCAGGAAGTTTGTCACTGTGAAAGTGTGGTAGAGTGTCAGATCACCATCGTCGTATCCCTCCGCCTGGAACAAAATCAAATATTATCATATCGACAAAATAGCAAATAATGTTTAAACACTGATTAAACTTGGATTGAAATGATATATCAATGTTTATCTGATATTCCTATGTCTTGTTGAGTGTACATACCTTTGCCTTCTTGACAGGAATCAGATCCCTGACAGTTTTGGCCTGCTCCTCCACCTCTTTGAACGCATGTTTGGGGTCAAAAAACCTGGCGTCAATTTTGTCCGGGGCAAGATAACCTGTTAAGAAAAGACAATGTTTAGTTCAGGTGAAATCTACAAAAGTGGCTAAGAAATAAGCGTCTGACAAGCTTTTTTCTGTCAGTCAGCTGCCACTGACCCTGACAGATGACAAAGATCTCAGCGGACTCGTTCCTGGACGCCTGCGGCTTGGTGGCCTGAACCTTCTTGAAGAACTGCTGGAAGATCCAGAGCAGCGGCTGGTAGTCTTTGGAGCGGAAGACCTTGGTGACGAAGGTGCCACCTTTGGTCAGAAACTCACAGGCCAACTTCATGGCCATGAGGGTCAAATGAGCTGCAGGTGAAGCGGAGAACAAAGTGAGATAATGGGACATTTAAGTTTGAAAGTGATCCTTTACTTCTCACCGGTATACTATTGGGCAAACTTTTACTTTTTGGTGGCACATACCCTGTGTGAAGGCATCATGTTGCCAGTTGGCGCCAACATTCGGGGCGCCGTCATTCAACACAACGTCGACCTTCCAAGTCTGCAGTTCCTTTTTGATAGCCTGTATGTGGGACAGAAAGTATTGCACTCAATACATCAATGTTGTGTCTCCAGTGTCTTGTATTTTGACAGGAGTTTTAAATTGTTTATTGTGTTATCAGTGTTAGCAGCCTGCACACTGATGTTAGTCTGCAGCTGCCTCACCTGTCTGCATTTGTCAGTGGTGATGTCTTCCTGCAGTGTAACAACGTTGGGGATGGACTTAATGGGCACCAGGTCCACACCTGAGAGGAAAAGAACAACACATTTTATTACTTTTATCACATTATTTCCATATACAATACCAATTAATTAGATTAAAATCAGACATCAAAAAAGCCAGCCCAAGACAGAATCATTTATTAGGGCTTCATAAAATGTATACATTTTTAAATTCCAAGTGTCTATTGAGCTTTTAAAATGACCTTTTAATGTTTGTTGTCAAATATTAGGACGTACTCTCGATAAATATATAAAAACCAACATTTGAATAAAATCGAATAAAGTCTAATTTTAAAAATATAATAATATAAATATTATTGGTGTAGCCTAATTTTATTCTATAACTGTATATAATTAATGGATTAACCTAAATGAAAAGAGACATGCAAAAAGAAAGTTCATGAATGTCAGCATTTTCAATAATTCGGTACAGCCCTACAAATCATAAATCAGAAAATGGTGACATAATACTCACCAATAATGATACTTGATATAGGCATAAACTTTGACGCCACCTGCAACCTGCAAGAAGAATACACTCACAATCATGAGTTTTACAAACAATAATCCACAAAAAACATTTCACTAATCTGTCACACTAGGCCGAGCATACACTACATCATAGCACCTTATTATTATTATTAATGATTGGCACATGGTTAACGTCTCTCCAAAGATAATAAAATACTGAATTAAAAGGTTATGGTTGTTTGAGGAGCATATTTTTGCTGTCAGGAAGAAACCGTATATAGGGTGGATCAAATTCATAAAGAAAGAAAAACGTCTGTACAATTTTTGTAATTAAGTTTAGCACGTTCAAATGCTTTAAGGCTGACACTCTACAAAGTCTGCAGACTCAAGACATAGTACAGATGTGTAGGTCTACCTTTATTTCCCCCCCAAACGGAGAATTGATCAACAATCAATAATGGAAAAATATACATTGATAATATTGGACTGATAAGCTGAACTGATAGTGGTATTAGGTTATAATAATTAAATATTGTCAATACTTATTTTCTCCCCCATTTTGGACTGGGAAAACCTGATTAAGGGTTAAACTACCAAGTTGAATATTAAATAAAATAGAAAGACTTTATGTATGACAGGACACGATTCGCTGTCCCATAATGCTGTTTAATGCGTGTCCCTTTGAATCTCTAGTTTGGGGACCATTGCTTTAAACCCTGAACATGTTAGTAGAATAATATATTTTGTTCCATCTCTGATAGTGTTGACAGGCTCACCATCCTCCAGGAGCAGCACACAGGTCCACCACAGCTCTGGCTTTCTGAAGAAACTGGAATTTACGGTTGAGCTGAATTAGCTTGAAAGAAGATCGAGAGCGGTAACCTGAAAAAGACAAAACCAAATGTTATCAGAGAGCTGGCACTATTACAATATAATCCAGCGTACACTCTTCTTAGTGTTAGCAAGTTAGCTACCACCCATGCTAATATCTACTTCAATGCTTACAGTCTAAAACGTGCTATATTTTCTAACACTGGAAATGTACCTGTTTCTTTTGCCAGATGGTAAAATTTATCCTTTCGGGTTTTTCCGACTTTGAGTTTCTTCCCCATGTTTGTTGCAGTGTGTTTAACACTATTACTCTAACACAGAAATACCACAGTATAAGCACTCAAACGTCCATGAAAACAACACGTGCGGAGTTCTCGGCGCAGAGAATCCACGTCACACCGCTGATCGTATTTCTTCTTCTATTGATTTGTTTCAGGATGATTGCAGGACGTGGGCGCCACCTGCTGTCTACACCGCAAAATGCAAGAACCTTTTTCTTTGGACCATGGTTTGGACATGTGCTAAAGAGGAAATTCATAGTTTGATATGGACAGATAAAACATGAACTGATAACAAATATCCTTCATTGTTGATAATTATTTATATATATTCACTGTTTTGCATATTTCGTTTAACTTCTACTGCTGATATGTATAGCTTTATTTTTGTTTGGTTATTTTTTCTTTTTTTTTTCTTTTAGGTGCAATGTCTTATCTTCATGCTGCTGTGACATAAAATTGGGATCAATAAAGTGTATCTTATCTTTATCTTATCATATTCATGATTACATTTAGTCAAAATATAAATACAGAGGAAACAGACATTGTAAAAACAAAACAAAAATTTATCAGAAGAAGAAGATAAGAAGAAGAAGACCCTTGATTAATCCCCAAGGGGAATGTCAGTTCACCTTTGTATTATATTTACAGTCTATCGCTGCAACATAAACTCAGATAAGGGTTCTGGAAACTTGGTCTGCACGACCAGAACCAACTAAAGTTTAATGTATAAAATCAGGTGTAGTGCTGTAATTTCACACCCTGACCAAGCATCTGAGTTGTTAATATCTGACCAACAAACACAGTTGAAACCCTACAATGTAAACTCTACGAGGCCACTTTCTGAACAAATAACCCAATCATTTGTATTTTCATTCTTTATATATTTATTTCATTTATTTGTGTATCACAGCCGCATGAATGTTGGGAGGCAACACCCTTCAGTGAAGATCACAGCTGTCAGAAAGGCCTGTTTCTGGATCGTGTGTTGATCAGTCCCAGGACAGAGAAGGCGCTGGCTGCTGCCGTCACCAAACTGATGGCCCCAATGGCCCGCGTAGCCTGAGGAGACAAAGAGGACAAGAGGAGGTGGACTGTGATCTTCAATATATTAAAGAACAAGAATGTTTATAATGTTCAATATGTTACACCTGTCTGTAACACAGAATGAACAGCAGATTTATTTTGAGAATGAAGTGCTTTGATCATTTTCACACATAAAAATCAAATAACAAACCTTCAACCCTCTGCCTAAATTAAACTTGTTCAGATAGGCCCAATTTTTTTATTTAGGAGCATTGATTTAGCGTTGCCAAATCTATGGGTAGAATTAAAAAGGCTTATTTCATATACAAAGTAAAATTGTTTCCCCTTTATATGTCACAATCTGCAAAGATTAGTAGATGTTTATGGTGAGGATTACTTTAAAGAAATGTCCCTTATTCTCTTCTAAAAAGTGTAATTCACACTTAGAACTATGGCCGTGGTGACATGCCATCGGTCACTGTGGTCTGCCGAGTGGAAGGTTAGTATTTTGCCCTGATGACACATGAGACAAAGACAAAATAAACAGTGAGAGACCTGCTCGGAAACCCCCTCCCCGTAGCGCAGAAGGGTCACAAAGTGCTCGCAGTTGCTCCCCAGCAGGTCGTAAGACACTTCCTGGCCAATGAGGACTTGTGCTCGCTGAATGATCTCAGAGACGGGCAGGGGTGTGTGGTTGTGGTCGTACTTGTTGTTTACACGGTACGAGTCACTACCCACCACCTCCTTCAGCAGCTGCATGCGCACCACTGCCTTCCTGCTGAAGACGGACTTCACACTGGACATGGCAGCTGCCTGGTTCTCGTCTAGAGAGGAAAAGGATAGCATCAGTGTGATAACAAGATTTTAGACATAACAAGTATTACCAAAAGTGAACATTGTAGTATCCGGAATATTGCAGGTATTGACAATATACTGTAATATACTATTGACAAAATATAGACTAACAGTTGAAGTGGGGTTGCACAACAAACAGACCCGAAAGTCCAAAGGCCAGGATCCAAAATGGGACGGAAACAACATAATTTCATCAAACTTGAACCAGTCTTAAAGACTTTAGTGGCTCCTACATAAGAAAACGATACCAAGAACCTTGAAATGGAGCAAAGACTTGACAAAGATTTACAAAACAAGCCATAAGTCCTATGAGATAAGATAAGATATTATTTAATTGATCCTTACTTACATTTTATCTTCCTCAACTGTGGTTGTCTATGCACCATACTACAGTATACAACAAGGCAACATGCTCAGACGTGTAAACCTACTTGCTTATAAACCTGATTCTGACTATGATGGTGAATTTAAAAAAAGCTACCCAATGTGCAGAATTGGTACTTTTACTTTTGGTAACATTTTGAATATAAGACTTTCCCTTTACAGAGTATTTCTCCACTGAAGCATTAAATACTTATTACTTTCACCTCTGAGAATAAAACCCAAGTTTCAATGGGCTTTAAACCAAACCACAAAGGTGAAAAGAGTATTTAGACTTTTCCACGTAAGTAAAAGTCACAACACAGAACTCAACACTCATCTCATGTCCTACTGACCGACGGGAGTCAGGTTGATGATGTAACCGTCTCCCAGGTAGAGAGCCCAGTGCTGATAGGCTGGTCTGAAGATCTCAATGAGGTCACCGGGCTGAGGGTCACTGGAGGGGTCAGGAAGGTCAGGGTCATTAGAGGCCATCTGCACACAGAAGGAGAGACACAACACATATAGATATAGCTATTTCACATATTATTAACTTTCTTGAAAGATAAGCACAGTGTGTCTGTTGAAAGAAAATAATACGGTTATAAAATAAGGAGGTTTAGAAGAAGGAGCAATTGGTATTTGTGAATTATTAAAAGTTAAAACATTATAAAAGATTTCCCATTTTAATCATAATCATCTAATGCAGTAGGACAGAGCATATAAACAATTATTTAAATGAACATTTATCTTCTTTCCAATCAGGCCTTTGCTACCCCAACAGTAACTATTTATTAAAATGATAAACATGTTAAAACATATGGAAAGATTTAGCTGTAAATAGACTCTTGAAATGACTTGGATGTTTCTCCTGTTGGAGCATGTGCATTCATGGTTAATTATCACATATTCGGCCAGCATAATAACAACCACTGGCATATTTCAGGTCACACTAACAGCCTTCAGTAAACTTACAGTTGTGTTTTGTTGTTGTTTATCCATCCCACATCATGCTTCCACAATTTCTGAAAAGAAAAGAAAACACAAATAGGAGAGACATACAACAAAACACACCAATAGATAACTGAAAGTGAATCGGACGACTAAGAAATTGTATTTGTGTTTTTTTATTTTCTGCCTGAGTTTGTGTTAAGACTGGAGTTAAAAGGTCAAATACATTCCCAGGGAAAGAGAATGCTAGATAGGATGGTACAATGTAAAGAAGCTCCCATACATTCACACACAGACAATACACACATAAGCTCTTGTGTCACCTGTGCGGCCACAATAGCATCAACACAATGAGGAAGCTGACAGAAGAATAGTTTGAGCCCAGGTTATTTCACATAGCAGTACTTATCCATAACACATTTACGTTTCCTATCACTTTCTCAATGTTTCATAGTTTCACTGCCTTGGATCACCTGATATGACTATTAACATTTTCTTGTAATTCCACATAGAGAAGAGTTTAGTTTGGATCAAAACTAAACGTTGATGGGATGAAATCTATATCCACCCAGGAGAGCAATTAGTACATGCATCTCATCATTAATGTATGATGTGTAGCCATGCTGAGAAAAAGTCTCATATTATTTTACCAAGCCAAAACTCTCAAATGAAAATATAAAGTTGAACTCTGTATGGAGATTATATCATTTTTGTTGTAACACATATGCCGTAATGCTCTGAAAACATTTGTTGTTACCATAAATAAAACACATTTTGTAGAAAAAGAATACAAAATACAAAAATACATTTAAAGTTGCTTGTTGTATTGATATGGCATAGGGATTTTACTGAATGTATGTGAGAGGCTCAAACAGTCAACACAGAGCAAATGCAAAGAGGATTAATACTTACTCAAACACCAGCAGCTTTTTCTTCCTCACCATTTTAGTTCTCCATCATAAATCTGCACATAACCATAAAAAATACAGAAAAGAAAAAGAAGAACGGAAAGAGATCGATTCCAAGTTTCGTAGTGATAAAAGATTGCCAATTATCCCAAAGCCAAACCAGATGCTGGAGGTCCTGTTGGAGGTATTTCAGTATCTGACTGATGACAGTTCGCCACAGTCGCTAAGGACACACACATGAACACACACTCACACGCACGCACGCACGCACGCACGCACGCACGCACGCACGCACGCACGCACACACAGACCTCCTCCCCCACTCTATTCCTCCTCCTACTGCACCTCAGTTAATCATTATAAGCCCCGCCCCCTTCGGGTGCATCACACACTGATGCTTTCAGGACTCTCAGTCTTGACCTCTATTGAACATGCTGTGTATGCAGGGATCTGAAGGACTTTTAATAAAGTCAGCAGCTGCATCTCTTTGCAGACATGCGTTGTCATGGATGGAGCAACAGGTTGGACCACAACGCAGTGAAATGAGGGGCACAGGTTTGAATTACACAAAGCAAGCTGTATTAAACTAAAGCCCATAATATTCAAATGAAAACACAGAGGGACCAGGCAGAGTCATACAAATCAGAGTTTAAGAAAACAAGAAAACAAACTAGGAACAAACCGACAACATCATATCTTTTTCATTGTGCAGTCAGTGTTGATAGAAAACATAAAGTGAGTTGTTCATGTGACACCCTGCAGCCCCCTGCCTCAATCTATTCGCTCCCCCCCCCTCCGCCCTCTCCGCCCTCTCCTCCATCTCCTCTCCATTGGAGGTGCATATCAATGTGAAAGTATAGAAAACACGTTGCCTTTACCCGCTCCTCATCATCACGGTTCTTGGCAGGGTCCACCACCGGCGCTCTAAAGAAGTCAGGTTTCTGCTGCGCCATGCCCTTGCCGAGCGGAGCCCCTTCCACCTCCTCCTCTTCTTCCTCCTCTTCCCCCCAAACGGCTTTTACACACCACCACCAGCCCGTCATTACCACGCATCGAGGTGAGGTTCTCAACCAGTCAACCCCAACAACCACCACCGATGCCCTCCCCCCCACCTCCTTTGCTCCTCCTCCTCACAACACACCAACACCTCCCTTCCCTGTTAGTGGCTGTGGGTTTTGTCAGGAAGAGGCACCGAAAGGCAGAATAACAGATTTGTTCACCTGTATTCTCAGGCAGAGAGAGTGTGTGTGTGTGTGTGTGTGTGTGTGTGTGTGTGTGTGTGTGTGTGTGTGTGTGTGTGTGTGTGTGTGTGTGTGTGTGTGTGTGTGTGTGTGTGTGTGTGTGTGTTNAGACAATGCGTATTTTTTTATTTCCTAACTTCTTTAGCTTTTATATTATATTCACATGTTCAACCATTTATTCCTCTTTGTGTTGACATCGGAAATGATTGGGGTTTAAAGAGTAATACAGGAAATACAAAAATACTACCCAATAAGATAGAAAAAATATAGGGTTAGCTTTTGCAAATAGTCTCTAGCTAGATCACATTTAACAATGACATGGGACTCATTCAAGTAATAATTGATGTAAAGAAATCCGTTATAATAAAGACTTGTATTCCATATCCAGCGCTTATCCAGGAAAACAACTTTTCATTATAAATTTGACCTGATTTGACCCCTATATATAGTAAGTTATCCATGTTGTGACTCACTATAACCCCATGCACTCTCACTATGTTTCTTATCAAGTTACTCACAGTGGGGGGGTGGAGGAGGAAGGTGAGGACGTGGTGTCTGTGGTGGAAAGGTTGATACTCAGCGATGACGAAAGTCTGAGTTTCCGTCTGCACCACCTTATGAATGTTTCCCTTATCTGTTCGAAAAACAGAAACGATGATTAAATATCCAAACATGAAAAGCACACCCATAGAAGACAAGCCACCCACTCCTGTTTCCCCACATCCTGATGACTCCTCCATTGAAACCCATGCAGTGGTCGGAGGAAATGTGTAAGAGGAGAGAGAACAGCTGCAGGATATGATGGTTTACTCTGGAGGGTTATTGGCCAATAGAGGATGAGTAATAGAGGTGAAGCAACAGCCATCTCTTTCATCTACCTATTTGCTCTCAGGGTATTCATTTGACACCAAACCAGATCTACCAAACACGCAAATGAATCCTAGGTGGCAAGAGGCCAAGAAATCATGTTACCCTAGCTGGACTACGGTGACACCATTTATAGATTTGCCTGTCCCACTGTCTTGGCCAAACTTGACCCACTCTACCATGCTGCACTGCGTTAATATATCAAATGCACCCTATAGGACTCATCATTGCACACTGTATAGCCTAACTGGATGGTCCTCACTCACTATGCGTAGGATGCAGCATTGGTTTTTATTAATGTATAAAGGCATTTTAGGAAAGCTTCCACTCTACATATGAGCCAGATTTGCTCCAGTTTGTGACTTTTACAACCTCAGATCCAGTGCCTGGATACGGGTCCAGGTTCCTGCTGTGCGGACTGAGGCTGGAAAAAGGACTCTCTTTCATTATGGTCCTTGGTCTTGGAATGACCTTCGATCACGCCTCAAACTGACCGCACTTGTCTCTATAGCATGTTTTAAATTTAAGTTGTCAGAAGTCCTTACCACCAGCTGCTCTTGCAGTAATAAGTAGTGCCTTTCTTACTGTCCTAATGTGCACAATGTAGTGACTGCTTTTTTCGTCTTTTGTTTTCTTAGTTATGTTCTCTGTATTTTATATGTTTGTTTTATATGTAACGTTGCTGCCTTCTTGGCCAGGTCAGCATTGTAAATGAGATTTTATCTCAATGCTTTTTATCTGGTTAAATAAAGGTTAAATAAAAATTAAAAAGATGTGTGATGTTTAGGGCTCTTAAGGTCACAACAGCGCTTTCAAAAAGGTGCGATTGTGGGATAAAAAGCACCTAACCTTGACTCTCAAAAGAGATGAGGTCACAATAATTTACGGTTTGGGTCCCTGTCGGTGTCGAAAAGATGTAAGAGATGGCAGAAAAGGTTGTCAGATTGTGATCTCCTTTTCTGTCTGTTATCCAACTTTAAAGGAGGAGAAACTTTAAAAAATGAATCTAACTTTGTTTTCGACTCCACATTTAAATTCTGTCTTTACAATGAAGGCACTGGTTGCCCAGAAAAGATGTGTGTTGCTTGATAAGAGGTAAAACATCAATAAGGGTTAGGGTTAAGATCAAAGTGTGGTACTCATTTAACGCCAGGTGCCCTAAACCAGATCTACCAAAGGCTGCAAACACTGCCAATGAATCCACCAATCGCACCGTTAGTAAGACATCATGTTAGCCTAAGGATGTGTCATGTTTCACAACAGTGCCTTCAAAAGGTAGGATTGTGGGATGAAATGCACCTAACCTTGACTCTCAAAAGAGATAAGGTCACAACAATTTACAGTTTGGGTCCCTGTCGGTGTCCAAAAGATGTAAGAGAGGGCAAAGCAAGTTGTCAGATTGTGATTTCACCTCCTTTCCTCTCTGTTATCCAACTTTAAAAGAGGAGAAACTTAAGAAAAGGAATCTAACTTAGTTTTAGACTCCACATTTCACTGGCACTGGTTACCTTGACGTAAAAGATCAATCATACCCAGCGTTAGGGTTACGATCGAAGTGTGTTTTGAGATTTCTATTACCATTTATTTCATCTATCTATATTCTCTCAGCGTATTCATTCGACGCCTGATCCACTGAACCAGATCAACCAGAAGCTGCAAACACTATCAATGAATCCACGTGAACTTAGGCTCTCTGTAATACCTCATTCACACCAACACAACTCCGGTTCAAGCTCCATGCTAGAGCTTTTCAGGTTCAGAACCGGTTCTTCGGTTTAGCTCCGGCTCTTTTCACACTGCCCAGAGTCCGACTGGTGCTTCGTCATCGTTTGCGTCATCACGTAACCGTTTGCGTGCCTGCTTCATAAAGCCAAACCGCGCGGAAACCCCTCACAGCTGACACCCACAACAACAATGGCCGATTGTGCTCCAGCTTCCTCTGTACCTCTTCGGAAGACCAGACTCCCAGTAGGTAGCTGGTCTCTTCAGTGGACCACTGCTGCTTGTTAAGTTTCTCCATCGTTGTGTACAAACTGGATAAAACGCCAGCTTTTTGTTGTTGTTCAGGAGTTGATCCCGCCCCCGCCCCCGCCTCGACGTAAGCGTGACGTATGCGGTGCTTTCGCTCTGGCCGGACAATTTTTTGGTGCTTGAAACGAAACGGATTCCGGAGCTAAGAGGCTGCCCCGCTGCGGTGTGAACAGGAAAACCAGGTGCCTTTCAAGCACCAGCTCCGAACGGGCCCTGAAACACCGTTGGTGTGAATGAGGTATCAGTGTGCCTAAAGGACGGCAATTATGACCTGAGGCCTACTGTGCCGTGTTAACCTACTTAACGGGAAGAAACTAAGGATGAGTCTTTCTTTATTATTTGATGATATACTGCGGCATGTCTTTACCTCCTGTGTTATTGTTTTGAATGTAAGTCTCACATGTCTTCATCTTGTTTTTCAGGAGTAAAATAAGTCAATGATTCACATGTTATGTTATTTAAGGAAGTGAAATAGAAACTGCTATTTGTGTTGCTCTCATAACATCTTGTGGGAAATAACAATAAAACTCCAACACAAATAACACGAAACTCTGAAAGAGTTTATTTTACAGACGTTTCATCCGAAGCCCTGCAGGTCTTTCTGAAAGTCCCTGCATCTGGAGAGGCAGGATATCCAATCTGTTGTTTGGGTATTGAATGTACTTCTTGTACTGCATACTTGTACATCTCTTCCTGGTTCAACTACAGGTTATCAGTCTCTAAACGGAGTCTTGTTCAGTCTTGTTCTGACTCTAGTTATAGTAGTCTTTGTAACAGCTGCTAAGTCTTCTTGTTAGTTGAAATGTAAAACAAAGGTTGTTTAAATGCTTCTTTCTTCCAGTATAGCAGCCATTTTAGGAACAACCGGTGTGTATTGTCATGTGTACTCGGTCATTCTGTTGCTGCTTTAACGCCTGCATTTCCCTCAATAAAAGTCCATCTGGCATCGTGTCTCGCTTTGGAATAATTAACCTATGTGGTGAAAGGGAGAGTAAATACATTTAAGGAAATAGGGGACGCTTTTCCTGGAGAGTGATCTAGCGGAAACTGATGAGTGGAATTGATAAATGTCAAACACTGATCAAGAATAAGGAATAATACTAACGCTGCCTAAAATAATAACTATCTCTAAATATAGAAATGATTTATGCTTCTATACTTGTCTTTTTAATTGTTGTACATATTAAGGTATATTATCTATTTTACTATGGCATGTGTGTGTGTGTGTGTGTGTGTGTGTGTGTGTGTGTGTGTGTGTGTGTGTGTGTGTGTGTGTGTGTGTATACAGGGCTGCACGATTTTGGGAAATAATCTAATTGCGATTTTTCTGGCAGATATTGCGATTCGATTTGCGATATTTGTTTTTAAGCGACCCAACGGAAGTTTATTGTAAAATGCGGCCATATCTCCGGCTAGGAAGGTCGTATCAACGTGCTCCCGTCTCTAGCACCCCCGCAGCCCGAGCTACGAGTGAAAGCACTAAAGTAAACTTCCGTTGGGTTGCTTTAAAGTC